GGATAGTAGGGATGCTCGAGCGCTATGAGCACAACTTGCAGGTCGCGATGGTGTCGCCGAAGCAGGGTAGCGCGGCGCAGGCCTTTGCGATACAGGGTCGTCCCTCAAGCGAAGCGATGCACTACGAGAAATCCTCCATGATTATCACAAAGGCTTCTCAAAATCTAATGTGGAGAAAATGTACAAAGTAGGTTTACACAAATAAAATTTTAATGATATTTTTAAGAACAGCTTTCTCGAGAACTTATATAAAAAATTTTAATAAAAGGATCATAACAGAATCTCTCTTTATTTAGCTTTGGTTTGCCGAATGACGAGTGCGCGAGCTTCATAAGTACTCTGAACTTGCGCGAGACGGAATTCGGACCGGAGTGCGCGGCGCTGGAGCGGTTCACGTGCCGCACTAACAAGATGTCCTCCAAGTACCGCACGTTCGACGGCTCTTGTAACAACCCTGTGCGTTCCTCCTGGGGCCAAGCGCTGACAGGATTCAAGCGGCTACTCCACCCAAGATATGCTGATGGTATCGAGGAAGTAAGTATATACTATTGGTAGTAGTCACTAGGGAGAATTCTACTCATTTTTTAAGGACATTCGCAAACACTGTCAGTGTAGAATATAATGAAGATCAGCTCACTATGGATACTGATAATCTAATTACCTCACATTTAGCCCCGTAAATCTGTGCTGCCGAAGCCGTTGCCATCAGCGCGCGTGGTCAGCGTCCAACTAACTGACAATGTAGACAAGCCTGACGACAAGAAGACCATAGCTCTCGCCGCCTGGAGTCAGTTCCTCCATCACGATTTAGTTCATATCCCCGTTAGGAAGACTAGTAAGTTGCATTCAATCAGAACAACATAATTCAAACTCTGATAAAAGATACTTTATATTAATGATGCGTTTTTCCTCCAGTCCACACGGATCAGCCGATTCGTTGCTGTGACGTGTCTGGTTACAACTTGGCCCCGAGGCACGTGCATCCCAACTGCATGCCGATCTCCATTCCTAGAGACGACCCGATCTTCAAAGAGGACAAGAATAGGAACGCCATCACTTGCATGGAGTACACTCGATCTGTCACCACATTCAGAGGCGATTGTACCTTCGGAGCTGCTGAACAGGTAAATATACTTGTACTATACACAGATAGGCGTACTAATATGTGAGAATCAAAAGCTAAATATATAGAGTATAATCATTATTCAAATATTGTTCCGATAATATTCATAACAAAGGTGTAATTTGACTAATACCTCTAACACGGACTTATGAATGACAAATATTGTTATTATTTTTATCTATGACAGTTATTACTGTTCTGATAAGATTATATTTGACAACTAATGGAATATTTTAATAATATTCCCTTATCGCGGCTTTGGTGGGAAAGTTCTAGAAGATAAAAAATGATCGGAAAACTTTTTGTCTTTTCATTTAGTGCAATGACTAGTTTATTTTTGGTAGTTTTATTATAAGAATACTATTACTTCATAAGCTTAATTTACTTTTACATATGAATATACGTGTTTGGTTTCGAATAATCGATAGTTTCTTAACTTGGATGAAACTTATCTAGTCTAAATACTAGTATGCAACAAGTCCATAATTAACGTAATAGTATTTTTTCTAAATGATTCATTTAATGATACTTAACTTATAAATCATTATTTTATTAGTCATGTAGTGTACAATGCACGTTACATGTTTTCCTTTCACGAGGTTACAGCGTGATTGAATCGAACTGTAATTCCCTTTCTTAACTTACGTAAACATTGTATCATGTTGTAAAAACGTATATTATTGGAAAGAACAAAGGAAGGGAATAATAAATGAAATCCAATAGTTATAAGATTATTGGAATTTAAACGTTTGAATTCTGAGCTTGTAATTGAAAATAGTTGTATTTGTAAAGGTTTTAATTCTTTTACGAAAAAAGTAACATTTTATAGGTACTAATTAACATCTTTGATACAATTTGTGTTTCAAATCTAGGTCCTTTTATGGTTAATACTAACTATATGCAATGATCGTAGATTTATGTAGGTCGTTATTATTCTTGTTTAAATTGTAATGTTAATTCAGCATAAATGAAGCGAACAAACATTGTAGATCTTGTTTACTAATCGTTACGCACACGACCACTAATAGATATGACCTATTGATTTGTTATTGAAACATTCATAGCCCTCATTGACTTCAATATAGGAATTTGACTTTGAATTAAGACCTATTGATTCGCGTTGAACAACCATATGTTCACTATTTGACATTCGTTTCATTATCAATTTATATTTTACAAGCTATCCAGATTCCATTCACATCATCATCATCATCCTCCTTATCCTACTCCCGTAGTGGCGCAACAGGTTTTTGTCCTCCACATAACTCTATTATACGTCATCTCAGTTATTACTCCCTTTTTGATCGTGTCACCTTTCACGCAATCCATCCAGTTCTTTCTAGGTCTACCTCTACCGGTTTACTCTTCCACATTACTAACGTTCTCCTTGTAACATGCGATTCATCCCTCCTTATAACATGTCCAAACCATGCTAACCTTTTACTCCTTACCTTCTCTACAACTAGAGCTACTCTCAAACTTCCTCTTATATACTTATTTTGTATCTTATCCACTCGTTACTCCACACATACATTTGTGCCACATGTAGTTTCCTTTCATCCGTCCCTTTTGATGCCTAACATTCAGATCCATACATCATGACAGGTCTAACGACGTCCTTGCCAAGTGAAATGACAAAATGAATAATGCCTCTAAGATCAAAGCCATCGTGAAACCCTATTATTTGATTGTTTAGATTAACCTCACTTCTACTATACATCTTTTCTTCTTTAACTTGTAATTGTTATTAAGCAGCTTTGCGAAGTCTTTCGTGGATCCAATGGATCCCATTACCTTTGGGTATTACTAATCGAAGCATACACATTGCTTGTTATAACGTTTACTTGCACAAGGGCAATATAAACGATCACTACTATAGTGATCTTGTCTGTTTGTCAGTTAATAGATTAATACTCACAAGGTCTTTTCTATAAACGTTAGCTAACCCTGTAAACAACTAGATTCAACGAGTTAACAGTTTATTTAATTACAGTAAATATTTCTACAAAAAAAAATGTTTACAATAAGAGACTGATAATCTTTATTTAAACACGATTCGATTATTTTCAGCCTTCTTATTTGCAGAGGTTCATTTTTAAAAATAAATAGGGTTCTAAGAAATAATGTACCCGTTGCATGCGAAAGCTATTTTCGTAGTGGCCGGACGGGTTTCTTTTAGACCTATGATGCGAGTCTTGTAATCATCGGAGTGCAATGCATGCGGATTTATAAATAAAATGCTATAACGTAACACCTTTTTTTGATTATTTTGTTTCTACCAGATAGTGAGTTATTAATAGTGTCAGAAAAACTCATTAATCTTGTCCTTAATGTCCACTGATGCGAATCAAATCTTGCGTTGTACTTCTTACAACGTCGCAGAATGGACTAAGACTCTGTTGTGTCAGTGTGGTTGCTCTTGTAGTGCGTGCTATTGACGTCATCAGTTTCAGGTCTTGTATTATTGTACACTTCTAGTATCTTGACGAGTATTGGATTAAACTGGATTAAAAGTTTAAACGGTAACAAGGATGTAAATGTAATTGAATTTCTTTGTAATAATAAAAACAGCGGATATTAATGTCAGCAAATATGAAATGGTAGTACAGTGTTTTTGTTATTATAGATTTATATTTCATATATTTTGTATAAATGTAGGTAAAAATTACGCAATTGTATGTTTTGTAAGTAGGTGCTATGAGTTCATTCTCAATATACGACGCAGTTTTTATTGCGTCTTAAACTATGAAGGAGGTCATGCTGACGCTGAAATAAGGGCTGTATAACTATCTCTTTCTAACATATCTATAACACACTATGACACGCAATATGTGAACGAAAGCATATTGCGTAAACAAAGATCGATTACCTACGTTTTTTTATTTGGTTGTATCTGTAGCTTGTATAAAGCAACTAAAAATACAAAAACATTCGTACGATGTGATACTGAATTGCTATCTATTGTCGAATATCGTAATACCAGAGATTTTTGTGTCGTAGTGTAGTTGTTTGTAATGTATGGAGGAAATTAGATGTTGAATTATAATGTCAAAATCAAGTGTAGATTGCAAAAGACTATTTTTCGCAGTTGATTATGAAATAATAGCTTTCGCCCGCGACTTCATCCGCGTGGAATTGATAAAAACAAAAGTGTATAACCTATGTGTTCTACCAGACTCTCTTCTATATTTATGTCAAATTTCATTGAAATCCGTTCAGCCGTTTAAGCTACATGCTCTAACAAACATTCATCCATCCATCTAAACTTTCACATGTATAATATTAGTAAGATTACTTTTAAATAATTAAATACTAATGTGAATATTTTACGTACATGAAGTACATTTATATAATATACTAGCTGTGCCCGTGCGGCTTCATCCGCATGAAATTATGAAAATTTTATTTTGTTGTTTACATTTGTCAAATTATCAATTGAAAATGTCAAATTGACATGACATGACAAACCTTGGCAATCTTGCTTCCTTGATGTTGGCAGCAACTTATGGCCTCTTTCCCACATTAGGGTTTTTATTCAAAATATTTACCTCCTAGGTTTAATGACGTGAAAATATATAGCCTAAAGCGTGACGTAAGTCTAGGGCTTTTTATTAATATAAAGAATTATTCAAAAATGTTCTGTAATTGCTGACATCTTAGGCAACAAACAAGTGTGTGTTTACGCTTTATTATAATAGTATAGATAAATGTAATTTTTTTTCAGTTGAATGAACAGGATCTTTGTTTTAAATAAATATGAAGTCGCAATCATTGCCACGAGCGTCGCGACGGTCACGTATACAAAGTTGTTAAACGATTCAGTATCTATTAAAAGTTTTATGTATCTGTTAGTTAACGTTCCATATTGATATGGCTTGGTAAATACATAATGGAGTTGTTTTTCACTTTAAAATATCTTTTGATATTTATCAGCACTAACAGCGAGAAATGGATGTATATTTACATAAGATATGTTGTGATGTCAGTTTATTTGGTTTGTTTATTTCAAAACTCTATTGTAATGCCTATAAATATCTTTAAAAAGGAACATGGAAAGACCAAATTAATTCAGAATTAAGGACCTTTAAGTTTACATCGCTATCAGTTTTAAAATGGTGTGAAGACACAAGTCTAAGATCAATAATAATGGTTACTTTAAGGACTCCCTTAGTAACTATCAAATCACTCTTAACATGGCTGAAAATTTACCAAGAACTAAAGAATATCTCAGCTAAATTTTTGGTCATCCTTTTTTTTGTTTCAGATGAACCAAGCAACTCATTTCCTAGATGGGTCTCATATCTACGGGTCTAACAGTCGAGACGCAGCCGCGCTCAGAGAGAAGACTGGCGGCTTGCTGAAGACCTCCACAATTGCTGATGAGGAGCACCTACCTCTAGCCGCCTCCCCTACTGATAAATGCCTCGTCGAAAGTAATAAGGAAGCGTGCTTTAATGCCGGTAAGTCGAACACCAATTTGTTGTTTAAATAATTTCATGATAAATTTTTATTGAATTAAATTAGTTCTACGGGCGAAGGAAACTTTTAGAATACACACAATTAAGTTTATGCTAGGAATGGCGAAATTTAAATGCACGGCGCAAAATCGGTTGTCCCTACTCGTTGCCCGTAACTATTGAGCTATTGGCGTTTAAATCTAAGCGTTAAAAAGTAGACGGTGGAACCAAAGTTACCAAAAATTGGTTACAGGTGACATCAGATCCAACATGCATCCTTGGTTAACGGGTCTGCATTCCCTGTGGGTGAGGGAACACAACAGGATAGCAAGGGCATTAGCTAAACTGAACCCTGAGTGGAACTCTGATCGTTTGTACCATGAGGCGAGAAGGATTGTGGTCGCTGAGTTGCAGCATATCACTTACAAGCAATGGTTGCCTGCTCTTACTGGTGAGTTAAATCTTAAATCAGCTTAAGCTATAAAGTTTTGTACATTTTTCCTTTCTGTACATCCCCTCCACGTCCTAATCGACTTACTCATCTCATCTTTTTTCTATATGAAAAGGTGGAAACGGGAGAAAGTCTAGAGTTAGCATAAACTCTGAAATACTTTAACTTCACGCCATCTTTTGTGTGATTATTGCACTGTCCAGTGAAGCATTTGTTGCAGTTTACAGCATTTAATGGCGTTGCAGTTTAAAATTATAGAGAAAACCAACTTTTGTCTTCTATAATTTTTTTCTATTTTATTTTAACAATGTGTAATAAATAAACGCAATAGAAATAACTTTGTTTTAGGTAAATCGTTCGATGAGATGTACGACAGTTACGATACTGGTTACAACTCAGACATCGATCCTACTGTAACTAATTCCTTCGCAACGGCGGCCTTCCACTTCGTTAATACACTCTTCGACCAGGACATTGAGTTAGTGGACGCTAGTAACCATGTAGTAGCAAAAAGATTAAAGGACAATTACTTCAAACCTGAATTGATTGCCGTGAAGGGAGGTCTAGAGAAACTTCTTCGAGGCATGGTCACCCAGAGGAGTCAGAACTCTGATCTCAATTATGATGATGATGTAAGTTTTTTATTGTTTTAAATACGAACATATTTATTTGCAAATATAATTGAATACGTCTTTATCAGTCTTTTATACACGAGTCCAGACAAGGTGACATTTTTGACCTTTGTATTGTATCCGCAAAATATTTTCCTTTATATTTTATGTTAACTTGAAACGTGCATTGCATTCTAAGTATTTAAATGAATAAACAACTTAGAATCACGTGTTTATGTCTGTATAGATGCTTATGTTATATGTTTGTAGCGATGTCTTGTTAATGCGAGGTGATAAGCATGTTTACTACAACAACTGGACTTCATTACAAATGTAAATTGTTATATCGTTAATATTCTCTTCATTTAATTGATTTAATGATTATGTTATTGTAAATACAATTTTAAAAAACCTTAATAACATTTAATACTTTTTTAATAATCAATAGTAAACATCAAGTCAATTTATCATTTTAAATTGTTTATCACATACTCTCCCACACACACATACAAAAAAACACACACACACCTACACACGCACGCACATAACACTCAACAACGCTATCGCACAAAAAAATGTATGTAATTTTCTTTTCCTTTGTTTTTTTTTATTTGTCATTTTTATAATAAGTAAATTTAATGTTTAATGTTTTTCTTTGTATTTTATGTTTAGACACTTATGAATATGTATTGCTCTTTACAAACGGGGAAAGGGATTGGCTCCTGCAGCACAGGGGAACCAAGTGCAGGAGCCAAGGCTCTCATGAAATGTGTATATTTTTAAAGTGAAATAATAAATGATTTATTAAGGATTATTATAACAAGCCCTATTTAACAGTTTTTAGTTATTTTTTTAAAGAAGTTCTCATTCTAAGTTGAACCATTTGGTGTGTTCACAAAAATCATCAAAATAAATTCTAAACGTTAGTTTTTTCTATTTAGTTACGTCACCACTGGCTGGGTGGTCTAGACGTGTTGGCGATTGACATCCAGCGCGGTCGGGACCACGGCCTGCCGGGCTACGTGCAGTACAGGACTCTCTGTGGTCTTCCACACGCTACTGACTTCCAGCAACTGTCCGATGTAATACCGCAACAGGTAAACAATGGATTCTAGTTATTCTAGAAGTATTTTTATCTAAAGTTATTCTCGCTTTTTTGTAATTTTTACTCAAGACACTTGCAGGTCTTTCTTACTTTCTTCTTTTAGAAAAAATAGTTCAAAGTGACTACTACCTATTTTCGTCTGCAAAATTTGAATGTAATCTTGTCTCAAAAATTTAGCAAGTTAAAGCATCCATGATGTAGGTCTTTGTCGATGATTGATAGGAGAAAATGTTCTACAATATTCCATTATTCTCTTGTTATGTTTGTATATGATGTATGTAATGGTTCAATATATTTTTCAGACTGTAGACAAACTATCCAAGCTGTACGACCGCGTGGTCGACATCGATCTGGTGGTTGGAATGATGGCGGAAACACCATTACCTGGTTCATTGCTGGGAACTACTGCTACTTGCTTGATAAGTTAGTATTGGTTATTTTTTTCATGTTTTCTATTATTATACTAAAGTGTTTACTTTAGATGTCTCTTTCTTAAATTGATAAATCGTACTAAATATAAACATTTTTTGTTAAAACGATCCTTGATCGCACTGGACGAGTCTGTACGCAACAGAATCATGTACTCTTACTAATATTGTATATGCAAACGTTTGTGCGAATGGATGGATGTTTGTTACTACGCATCTCCAAAGCGTCTTGGCACAGATGTAGAGCATTGGAAGAACACGTAGACCACATTTTTTTTTAATTCCGCGCGAAAAGAGTCGCGGTCAGCTTATTATTAAGACAGAAAAAAAGGGGTTATCCAGTGGTGATTACATTTTAGGGTAAAGTGTAATAATTCACTTTTTTTTTCACACGGATACTAATAATTATTTGTACATCAACAGAGGAGCAGCTATGGCGTACTCGGTCCGGCGACCGTTACTTCTACACGCACTCTGAAGCAGGCGGATTCAGTAAACGTCAGCTAGTGGAGCTACGGCGTTCCTCTCTAGCTGCACTGCTCTGTGACAACGCGGCGGTACAGCGCGTACAGAGAGATGTCTTCCAAACATCCTCGGGCAGGTAATTTGTGTTGTTTAAATGTACAGTCCCGGAAATACGCGGTGGCTCATTTTCAAAATTGCCTTGTTCCTTACAAGATACACTTCGTATCTTCTTATATATAACCAAATACTAGTATGTAGCAAAAATGATTGGATAATAAGAAACAATTAGCTCTGTACCGCTGACTTTTTTATACATTTAAAAAACTGCTTCCTATTGGTTATTGTTCCGTGTTGTCCAATTTTAAAACACGTTCAAACGACTAGCTTTTGAAGTACATTGCCAGATACCCTGATTGTACAGTCGCCTTCGTTTGCGATATTTCAGTTACAGACAAATTGACCTTTACCTCGTAACGAATTAAAGCTTCGCACCTCCTTAACAGTAAATAGTAAGGGTACTATTTGTCAAATAAAACTGTTTATTATCTATTGTATAGTGTTGAATTTTAGGGGGTAAAACATTTAAAGGCTTGTTGTTTTGAAAGTGTAATACCAACACTGGCCGCGACTGTACTACGGCGTTTAGCAGCGAGTATATTTAGCTTATTAATGCTCAATACATAATATTAAATATAATTAATTTATTTGCAGTAACCCAATGGTATCGTGTGATGAAATAAAGAGAGTAAATCTAGAAGCATGGCAAGACCCTTCACAACAGCCTGATATCCTAACACGCACTAACAACTGGTTGAAGAACAAAGTCGCGAGCGCCGGCAACGTCACTAAGTAATCACTTATGTTTAAGTTAAGTTAGTACGAATATTTTAACTTTGCTACTGTATTTTGTTTAGAATGGTAGTTACAGTTATTTATAGCATTTGAAAGATTTATTACATAAGACTAAAGTAGCTTTTCGTTCTGAACATTCTTTTTAATTTTGTGTGATTTCTTAATGTAGCAAAATTAAAATATTTGTACAAATAGTGTTAAATCTATAAACAATTACAGTAGCCCATCATGCAAATGTGAACTTTATTGCGTTGTGATTAAATGTTTTTTATATGCATTATATTTTTTATATCCTAGTGAAGATACTACGTAAAATGATGTGTGTGGATGTTTGAATTTGCATTATGGACTACATTTGTGTGATTTATTTGTAATCGTTTTGTAGTTTTTAAATTCTGCATAGAGTTGGGATGCACATTTATGACTAATCGAATTAAGCCATATGATATCGATTTATATTTCTCGAAATTATAATTATTGGTTATTATGATTAAAACTCAATAAGTTAAAATATCTCTGTTTTTTTTTTTTCAATTTTCTCGATGAACTATATGTTCTTACTTGAGAAAGCAATTTGTAAGCTTATACGTTATAAATGATTTTTAAATTGGTGCATCTTTAGGTTAAATAGTGTTTGTATTTGTGTAGACGCCATATTGTAAAGTGGCTGTGATAAAAGCGAATTTGCTTCTCACGTCATATTTTCTTATATTAAAAAGGTTCAAATGATTCATTTGTTAAAAGATCACGGAACCGAATTTCTGTATGATTTTTATATGAGATATTATTAATTTTTGTATTTCTGTAATCTATTTGGCAATGGGGATGGAATTGGTAAGGTTTAAAGAAATTTCGTAATGCTAAGATTTATCTTAGATCAAATGTGAATGTGATAGAAAACTTTATTAAAATAATGAAATTGATTTTCAAAATTTATAATGTGTTGTGTACTTATTGTGTTATGTTCTTGATTATTTCAATATTTTTGAAAGTAGTTACTTAAATTTAGTGAAAGTAGGCTAAATATAGGCATTGAGACACCTTGTTTTACTTGATTTCATACGAGTTCTGACAGCTATGGAATATACCAAACCACGAAATTTTATTCTCGAAGTTTAAGACCAAAAATGGGATTTTTCAAAACTGATAGGGAAATTTTTTAAAGCTGTCAACACTTTTATAAAATGTACTGTAAGAGTAAAACATGCCTGATAGAATTGTTTACCCAAAATTATAATATTTTAGTTCTAAATATATCGTTAACTTCAGAAAGTGTCGAATTTACCTGTAGGTCTGATAGTTTAAGGATTTGGCATATAGAAGAACAAGGGTGACGCTGAATGACGAAAACTTTTACAGTAATAAGTGAAATTATTAACACGAACCTATTACGTGTCCACGAAAACATAAGACTTGATACTATGACGTCATAGAGATAGATGTTATTCGTTTGAAAGTCCAACATAACTAATCTCAAACACGGAAGAATACTGGAATGACATTTAAATAACAGCGTTTTAAATGAACATGTCACGCTATTGTGCCACATTCTCCTCCAGTCTTATGTTATTGTGCACGCGTAGTATTTCTCTTCAGTTGTCTTAGCGGCTCCTTATTGATAGTTTTCTGGATCGTTGCCAAAAATACCAAAGACTGGGTTTGCAACTGGAAGCAGCATTTACTTTGTAACCAACTAACATTGTTAATGAAATACAATTTTGTATTTATTTAAAGTATTTGAGTTAGTAAATCGTATTTGATATATTAAAGATTTTTTTCAATAGTAACATTATTTATGCTCTCTTCATATCTATTGAAATAAACGAAAAGCTGTAATTAACAAAAAAAAAAACTAAAAACTATGTGAACGCACAATATTTATGTGTTCGATACTTTTCTAACGCATTGTAAAAGTGTTAAGGTTAAAATTAGAAAAATCACTATCTTAATGTATAAATGTTTTCTGTTATAAAAACGTTTAATTTCTAACTATCATAAGCGGATTTTTTTATATTCATTAAACGTAGAAAATATGATGGGAAAATGATAAAACAGTTTTTATTCTGCACCATATTTAAAAAATAACTATTAAAGAAAAGTGTAAAATCGCCTATTACTGTGTTCCGTATTAATCAAATTGTTTTGAATATATCCGTTTATAATCAGGATATGTTCTTTTCCTTTTTATTTGTCAATAAATTTATTTATCAATAGAGTTTGTGTTTTATTACGATTATTCACAATAAAGAGCACCCTAAACAGACGAGATTGAGCAGATGTATAAATGTGAAAGATTCGAGTGAGGTTTACCAAGACCGCGCAAAATACTTATCTGTCTGCCCCTCTTTGTTAATGGCGTGCATGTTTCACAACATGATGTCTTGTGAACTAGTCTTGTGTACGTCATCTTCCACTTTCCAAATCAATCTCAGATTTTCAAGAGTACTTTTTTGTAGAAATATTTCCGAGTGAAGTATTACGGTAATTATTATCGTAACCGTCATTTGTTTCATTTAATTAATTTCTGTTTTTTTTTTAATCGCGCCATCTATAATTCGCTGTGGGTTATTTGCTTTACATGTAGCCTACGTTGCGCTTAGATGACATTAATTTCTTAAGTACAAACTATGTGGCGTAACGTGTACAACTTAAAATGTACAAACTCACGGCCATAAGTTAATTGAATAATGCGAAAGTATAGATGGAAGGATGTTAGAGTTTGTAGCCTAAACTGCTAAACGGATCTACATGACATTTAGCATAAATGTAGAGGACAATCTGGAAGAATACATAGGATTTTGTTTTTTAAAATTCCACGCGGAGAGAGTAGCGGGCATAATCTAGTTTCATAATCAATATTAGGAGGTTCAGGAACGAAAATGCTTTTAAAACAAAAGTTGTTTTAAATGTTAGTTTTAGATGTTTTTTTTCTCAAAACCACATAATTTACTTCCAACTAGTACTTCAAATCAGATACTAAGTATCGTCTGGTCTTGTAACCAGACAGAAACTATAACACCGTATATCTTGATTGGGTTTTGAAGCAGTATTTATCTTAGAACCACTTCTCTCCTATCTAAGGAACTTCGCCTTGTCCAACTTCCACGGACAGCGAACTTATGTCTTGATAGGTTTCTGTCCGTCAACGCCCATAATATAGACATTGCTAGTCTTATCCACTAACTTCAAAGTTATAATATTTGCGCGTTTATAAGAATATAGATATCAGGATCGAGCCAAAAAGTGGAAGAAACTTCCTATATATCTGGGCTAAAGCGTGATTTATACTGTTGTTGGCCAAATCCACAAAACCAATCAATTTGCATGTTATACGGTATAGTAAACTTCCTATGATTATAGATTTTGAATAAGTTATTAAACAGGAATTTAATTATGTTGAAATTTTCAAGGAACTGGTATAGGAAAGTGAAATCGGTTTGCTTTATCTGTATTGCATTAGACTGGCCTGAGACATGACGCGTAGTTTTGCAGTTTCGCAACGATTGTCAACTTGTGATAAGAGAAACAGTTTACAACTAAATTATTACGTTCCCGTGTGCGCGTTAAATTGATTTTTTAATACGCAACACTTAAATAACGGAAGTTATTACGATAAATTAGTTACTTTGACTATTGTCAATATTTTGTAATGTACTGTTAACTGAAATCATTGTCATCATTTTATTTGATACTAGCTGTTACTTGCGACTTCTACCCCTTGATATTAGTAAATATTAAAAAGCATGTCCGAAACTTACTGATAACACAGCTATTTAAAGGTAGAAGATTTTTTAAAATCGACCCAATAGTTTTTGATTTTTTGAATACATACAAAAATACAAACATTTCTCTTTATAACATTAGTATACTCGTAGATTAGGATTCAAGTTCCAAATCCCCAGGTCTAATGACCTAGGTATGTCCTAATTCTGTTTTAATTTAATAACAGTAGTAACATCTGAGTCGGATCTTACAAGGCAGCACTCGAGCTTAATTATAATTTAAAACTTTTACAAGAACTTTTACATCCTTTAAATATTGTAGTAGAAAACTTTCATAGTAGCTCTTGGTCTGAAAGCGTTGTTAGTTTAAGAGTTATAAAATGTTTAAAGTTTCCGTGACTTTTTATAAACAATTAAAAGAGTAAACTCAGGTCTAACTAGTCCTTTGTTGGTCCTACTTCAGGCCCCACAAAAAGCATGATACGACCATTTATCCTGAAGGACTCCCAACGGATCTGAAACTAGTCGGTGACGATAGCAGACTGAGCTTATTTTTTTTAAATTTCGTATTGTTATAAAGAAAAAAACAATAAAATTAGGCTATCTGGTAATTATCCGGCGGTAATTGTATAGAAGACAATTAATATCTTTTTTTTTAACTTTATGTTTCTTATGAAATGTAATAAAAACCGTGTAACGTATTGCAATAAGTTGCAAGACTTCCTGTCTTTTTGTAAAATAAAATTTTTGCTTTTATATCTTTTTATCGTTTTCCCGTTACCGGTACAATTATTTAGCAATAAACGTCTCAAGGACTAAATTCTGCATTGTACTGTGACTGTACCATTCATTTAAATTAGGGTACCATAAATACTCGAACAAAATGCCAACACTTAAACACCTTTGTCGCAACAATATGAAAAAACATTAATTTGATTTTTTTTAAATTAGCCTTAATAATTTAACCATGTCTTTGACTATCAAGAAGTTTACATTTGCCCTTTTTATAATAAAAGGGCGCAAACGAGCGACGAGAACACCGAGGTGGTCAACGACGCCTATGAACATCCACAACACTAGAAGAACTACAGATGCGTTTCCGGCCTTTGAGAAAATGATAGGCTCGTTTTTTAAAGGACCCTAAGTCGTATTGGTTTGGAAACACCATCGAGCACAGAACGTTCCACAACGCGGTTTTGCGAGGCAGAAAGTTCCACGAAAACCGCAAGGTTGTGGAATGCCAGCCACCGAGATGGTGAGGATGGTAACTGACGGTCTGTCGTGTCGTCCGATGACAAAACTCGGCGGCAGGAATCATTCCAAACGACTCCTCGGAACACTTCCAGTGGTAAATGCGGTAAAAAAACAGAGTGAACTGACTTTGAACTTTGCTTAATAAATGGATGACCCGTCTTTAAAAGTCACAAAAAGAATATTCTTGTTGCAATTGGTCAACTAACATTTGGTTTTATTGTACCCAGTCAATAAATAACATGTATTTTAGAATTTTATTTAGGTGTTATGTAATTAATTAGTTTATTAAAGCAATTAGTTTGGCTGTGATTTATATTTTTATGTTATGTTTAGCAATATGTTGAAAAGGATATAGTTGTTAAAATGTATAAAAATAATTTCTCACGAATGCATATATTGAACAGTACGCATTAAAACGCATTAATTGGATTTTTCGGTTGATTTATTGTGATATACAACATTTTTATTTATATACAGTATTATTATTAAAACTCCTTGATGTACGATCCATTATTTATCCAAGATATTGTCTCAGATTTATAACATAAACTTAACAAGACAATTAGTTCCGGTACATTTAAGTTAGAAATGTAATAAGTTAAGCAAGCCTCTAAGATATATAAGTTACACAACTGTCACGGTATCACGGGGCTCGAGGCGAAATCAAGGTCTGCACATGGCACACATGAACGCAACGTAAAAAAATGTATGTAGCAATTGTGCCTTGAGATAGTAATTTGCGTTCCCAATCATACTTTGGAACAATAAAAATACTGCACATGTATTACAATGGCTTAAAATTTTAATGATACTAGCAACTTACTATAATGCGCGGTTCACACTTGATCAAAGTAGAGCTCTATAACTGGATTGTCAGTCTGAAACATTGTGAACGCTAACTGGCACTAGGAAGTCCATACAATATGTGACTGACCGTCGCAACTCTTGGACTGTATTGGCCAAGTGTGTACCGGGCATTAGAGTAGATTATATGCCAGCGTTGGAAATATAGTAGGATAACTTTTATAATTATGTGGAATTTTGATGTCAAAGGCGTCGCTCGCTTTGGTCTCTCAAAAATTGTTTCGTATGTTTTTTTTAGATGACTTTTCACTTGGCACAAAAATCTGTTTTTGTCAGGCGTTTGTAAAATGGAATATCAACGAATTTAAATAAATTATTATAATAAAACTCTGCGTACTATTCAAAGAAGAAGGATATAAATATTTTCCATATTATGTAAATTATTTGATGCTTATTTGCTTCATTTGTTATTTATAATCTTTAAGGTATTAAGTTTTAGTTGTTTATACAAATAGAAGTAACCTTCACTAGTAAAAATAATTTCATTGTTGTGTTTGTAAAAGTTAATTTAAGTGTCATTGTGTGTCTACAATAAAATAAATAAAGCTGGTGTTACACTGCGAACGATTTCATAAAAGTAGCTATAAACTTTATAGCGTATATCCGGGACGTCGTATTTTATGAAGTTATTATCCAAAGCCTTTGTATGATTACATAACATAAAAATATTCACTGAAGGGTTTTTGTCCCTTCTTAAACCTCGCGGACTATTAGCTAAAAGGTTTGACCACTAGAATCCTTGTTATTTATATTATATTGTCTTCAGTACCAATATTGTAATTTTAATATATTATAATCATAAAAAAAGATTTACAATTAGTTTAGAAATTATATGTTAATATCAACATCTGTTAT